GAGTTGCGATACTGGTGAAAACAAAGCGACACGATATATCTATTGCACTGAGGCGGCAGAGACTGGTGAGATGCTATTCCCAAGTAACAATTTTGGTTTTATGAGGGTTCTATAGACCATAATTTGGACTTGTAGCATGCTTTAAAACCACTATAAAACTTGCAATGTTACTTGCGTTGTTTGCCCCAACGGCTGTTGGGTCGATATCATTGTAGCTGGTATGCCTCGGTCGCCTCGGTAAGCAATTTAACGTGCTTTCGTTGTTGCTATCAATGGGATGATGTGATGATGCGATGATGATGATTAAAGCTGGACCGTAATCAAAGCGCTCGGCGTATGGTTAACGGCTTCCTCACTCGCGCACTAGTTGTATTAACACTATGCCAACTAAATTTGGCGAGAAAAAACCCTCGCGTGGGGAAAAACTCAAAAACTCGAATACTAGTGTCGTACAACGAGACCGATGCGACTTGACCGGCTCAGCGTGCGAGACGGAATGGTGCAAACGTTGGCAATATTAAAAAAAATGAGAAAAAAGTTGTCCATATATCTTGGAATTAATGTTCACCTTTTTTCAATAATTCTCTGGTTAAAACCCAGTGCAACCAGAATGATTCATTTTTTTGTACTAGATGATTTATAGGCTCATTTACTTCTAGATGTTTCTTCAAATATAGAACAAGAAAATAACAATTAAAATTTCTGAGCAGGACTGTCATCAATGTGCGCAATGTACTGATTTTCTGAAATAAACAAAGTGAGAATCAAGCAAACACAAAGTTTGCTTGTCTTTCACCCTGCGCATGTGTAACGCAACGGAGAAGGGAACACACACCCAGAAATAACGAAAGCTCAATGTGTAGCCATCGCTCTGACGGCTCCGACGCAAAGAGCGCCATTTAGTGTAGGGTCACAAATGGGAAACCCAGCAAACACACACAATTCTTCTTCGTTATGCTATTCTTCATCTCATATGCATGCAGTCGTGGTTAAGCAAAGTCTGCAAAGAGTTCAAAAAAGACAATATTGTATTATATTCGCTGCCTGCGCCACACGTAGTGTTCCGCTCATTGTGTGGATTGCTTTCTCAAAGATTAGTTGGAAAAGAGTGTGCGAAGTAAATGGGAGAACCACACACTCTTTGTCGAGTGTTGTGAGATGCATGCACAAAGTTGCTTTGTTAACGCTCTGAGGTGCTTTCCAGCCGTGATTATGAGGGATAAAGGGTGATACGGTCAAAATTTGGTCAATATCAACTTGACGTATTTCTTTCAATTTTGCATTTAAAAAACCTGAACACCCTCATTTTGAAGGTGTGTGTGTGTAGAATGTTGCTCCTATTTTGATTTTGGAATTCACTCTTCAGTTGTCAAAATGCCGTCCAAGCAAGAAGAGCAGCGTATCAAAATTTTGCTCGCGCATCGCGAAAATCCGAGCTACTCGCACGCAAAGTTGGCAAAATCGCTAAAAGTTGCCAAATCAACCGTTACAAATGTAATTAAAGTGTTTGGGGAACATTTGTCGACAGCCAGGAAGTCTGGATCGGGGGGAAATCGAAAACCGGAAGCCGCTGAGACGACAAAGAGAGTTGCCGGTAGTTTCAAGCGAAACCCTAACCTCTCTCTCCGAGATGCCGCAAATAAGCTGGGTGTATCGTCTACAACCGTGCATCGAGCCAAAAAACGAGCTGGACTATCGACTTACAAGAAGGTAGTGACTCCAAATCGCGATGATAAACAAAATACGACGGCCAAAGCGCGATCCCGGAGGCTGTACACGATGATGCTGACGAAGTTTGACTGCGTGGTAATGGACGACGAAACATACGTCAAAGCCGACTACAAGCAGCTTCCGGGACAGGAGTTTTATACGGCAAAAGGAAGGGGAAAGGTAGCAAATGTTTTCAAGCACATGAAACTGTCAAAGTTCGCAAAGAAATATCTGGTTTGGCAAGCCATCTGTACCTGTGGCTTGAAAAGCAGCATTTTCATAGCTTCCGGGACTGTCAACCAAGAAATTTACGTGAAAGAGTGTTTGAATAAATGTCTGCTGCCTTTCCTGAAGAAACACGGTTGTTCCGTACTGTTTTGGCCGGATTTGGCATCTTGCCATTACGGTAAAAAGGCCATGGAGTGGTACGCCGCCAACAACGTGCAGGTGGTTCCCAAGGACAAGAACCCTCCCAACACGCCAGAGCTCCGCCCAATTGAGAAATACTGGGCTATTGTCAAGCGGAACCTAAAGAAGACCAAAAAACTGCTAAGGGCGAGCAGCAGTTCAAGGCAAACTGGCTTTCTGCGGCGAAGAAGGTGGACAAGGTGGCTGTACAAAATCTGATGGCAGGGGTCAAGCGTAAGGCCCGGCAATTCGGATTTGGAAAAGCGGAAGCCTAACTGAATATTTTTGCTGAATTTTATACTAATTGAACTTGAAAAAGAAATTTAATTTGATTTTTTAAATAAACGATTTCACCGATTTACACGCGTTTTCCCTTGACCAAATTTTGACCGTATCACCCTTTAGTTTTGTTATTGAACACAGTTTAAGCAATTAAAACATTGTTTTTGAACCGTATGTAAAAAAAATTAAACAAAACAGTTTCATCTTCGAAATTTAATAATGACTTCTCGATAACTTTTTCAAAAGGACGTATCAGCTTTTGTAAACAATGCATTTGATCGTCGATTTGGCGTAACTGGTAGCTCGCCCACGCATGAAATTTTCCCCTACCTGCTAGTGGTGTTAGTAAGCGTGTACAAGCTACCAGATACGCCATATCGACGATCAAATGCATTGTTTACAAAAGCTGATACGTCCCTTTGAAAAAGTTATCGAGACTTGTGTTTATAACGCTAAAATTGATATTTATAACAAGTAATCAGCGGCCTGAATTCAATCCAAGTCGGCGCCGTCGGTATATTCTGAGGCATAACATCTCTGATCACGCCTTCCTTCGGAAGCAAGTAAACTCGTTGGTCCCCGGTCCATGAGTTGATGGATGGGGTAGGTAGGTAGGGCTTCCAGGTGTGAGAGCTGATTCCCTGGCGTTGATAGCATTGGTACTCAGTACGGAAAACAAATTCGACGGAAATCAAATAAAGGAAAAAAATCATGTTATATACATGATAAAGTGGAGTGCCTAACGAAAAAAAGTTAATATATCAACCTATTTGAAATGAAGATATAAATAGCGTCCAGTATGATGTGTTTCTTCATACCGCAGCATGTATTGCTTGAACCTAATGATCCAACAAATTTAACCTTCCCGATAATTATCACTGTTTTCATTAAAAAAAACCAAGATTACTTCTTGAATAGCATGGCGATAATTGAACAAATTTTAATTGCACTTTCCAAACAACACATCCTAATGAAACCGAGGCGAAAAATCCATTCCGGAAAGCGCCAGATAAGCATCGGAATTATCAACAAATTATCGCGCTGCAATTACCCGGCAAACATACACTCGAATAACGACTACAACGATGATGGCGACAATGCCACTTGTGGTCAGTAGTGCAGCGAAGCAGAATCGTCGTCGGGCAAATCGAAAAAATAAATCCAGGTCAAAACCAAATTGCTTTTTAACGAAATTTTCTGCCGCCCAGTTCATAATTTGTTTGCAAGCGCAATTTTTCCACGACCGGTCGGTCGGTATCTTCCTGGCTCTAAGTTGTTTTGCCTCCGCGTTGCGGCGCTGCAACAGCCTTCAGTTAGTATGGGATTGGTCATTTTACTGTGGCACATGAAAAACGTATTTTTTTTTGTGTGTTTTTGCGATGAGTAACTTTTTCTTGGCTCCAGTCCAAGCTCATCTCCCGGTGGTGGCTGGTTTCTGACCATCTCCGAACTATCAATGCGCAACCAAGAGAGCACCTATAATATTTTTCCCATCTTCTGCCTTGAACCGGGCGGCGACGGAGTGTTTTTCCACAGACCAATACTAATATTTTGCTTCAGACCACACCACGCCGACTCCCGGCAGAATCTGTGCAGGTCACGCTTCTCGAACATCATGATCACCATTCGCCATCATCATCAACCAACGAACGAACGAACGAATATGGTGGAGGACGGACGGAGTGACGCGACGATGAGGCTGGCAAGTTGGCATCATCTGGTGCAGCACCGCAGCATCGTCCGTCGTATCGGCTCGGATCATGGCCTGGGATAGTGCTTGCCGATATTATTATGAGATGGTTACCCATCGAATGCGATGCGGCTCATTTGATCGAGATTTTCCTAATTGTGGAAGGGTGCGGTTCATCATTACGTCACATTGTTGCATGAATTTGGTGTCCTGGTTTGTATCACTCTTATGGACAGGTTTGAGATTGCGATGAAATTCGTAGGGAGGATGTTTCGCAGTGTTTGTGCCTCGCGTTCGATTGCCAATTAGTTTAGAAAAATATTACGACAGATCATGTCAACGGAGCGCATCTGCAGGATATTAATACGCACGATGAAGAATCGATGGGTCCACTTTTAGAACAGCGATCTACAGGGATGAAGTTTTGATGCCATTCAGACGGGTAACATTATATGTGGGTTTCAAATGCGTTATTTTATGGAAGACCAGGATGTTGTACCAATTTGGACATTGATACTTTAATACATCTCCTCACCTTACAGGACTTTGCACATTCAACCCTGCGTAAAATGCCGTACATCTTGTTCCTCCTTTATTTCTGAGCATATCCAACACCACATAGGTGTATCGCTCCCGGCGCGAGTCGTCTGCCGTTCGGTTGGTCCGGCCGCGGCTTGGTCTCGATGATTGAAATGTTTTAATTAATAATTAGTTGCCAATTTGGAGACGTCGTGTGGCGTGGAAGTGTTGCCATTACGGGGTGAGAAAAAGTGGCCCATGATGATGATGAGTGTAAACCAATTTTACCGACGATAGATTTGCTCAAAGTATTGCGGTTGAAAATTATGTCCGAGTGTATTTAATGGAATAACTAATATTTCCCTTCTCTTTTCTCGCCTTCAATCAACAGTTACGGTGATATGGTGCCAGAAACAATAGCCGGTAAGATAGTGGGAGGCGTCTGTTCACTGAGCGGAGTGTTGGTCATCGCGCTACCCGTACCTGTAATTGTGTCCAACTTCAGCCGCATCTACCATCAGAACCAGCGGGCGGACAAGCGGAAAGCACAGCGGGTAGGCATCCGGCCCTGGACGGTCAATTACGATGGTCCGGCCGACATTGTCGACTACAACTCGGTGTAAGTACCGCGGGAACCCCGTTTAATTTTGCGTCCACTTTTTGTCCCTCTTGTAGAAAGCACGTCTCGCACGAATACGAATAGCGAAAGCGGGCGCTAGTGCAGCGTTCGCGAATAAGAAGAAGGCTGCCGAGTCGCGGCTAGCAGCGCAGGAGTCTGGCATCGAATTGGATGACAACTACAACGATGAAGACATCTTCGAGCTACAGCATCATCATCTGTTAAGATGTTTAGAGAAAACTACGGTAGCTATCACTAAACAAAAATCATCTCTGTCCATACCACTGTCTATCTTCACGAAAAGTTGAATCTAAAGTTTCAAGGCCACTCTGCTCCTTCATAAATTATTGCGCTTAGCTATAGTGTTACTGAATTTACCTACCGCTGCCGTACGATAACTCTTCTTAAAAAGCATTCTTCTCTCTGGTCATTCTTCACTCCTGATTGGCAATGTTCTCGGATGCAGGGAACAAACACGTTTAGACTCACTCCGTGTTCGTAGATTAGAAATAATAAGCTTTGCGAGACAGCTGCTTTCTTCAAATATATGTTAATTTATTTTCTAGGATTATACTAGTCGTAGATGACGCTCACTTCTCATGCACTATCCTTTAGTTATCCTTGCTTCGCCTGCTTTTGCAGCTTAAAAAGATAATAAAAATAATATTGTCCCATATTGTTATTTTATAGCATTACCCTTTTAACATTCATTGTGTTAGAATAACGCTTCTTCCACACTCATACGCAGCGAATAAATCGCACTTGCCGTGGTGGCAAAATTCGCACACCGAAGCAGCAGTTTTGACGCAGTGTCGCGATCAAGAGTTGTTCCAGGCAAATCAGCGGCGCTGGTGGTGTTGTGATAAGTGTGACTGACTTTCACTCCAAATAGGCATAAACTCTCTGATAACGCCTTCCTTCGGAAGAGAAGTAAAGCCGTTGGTCCCTGGTCTATGAGTTGATGGGTCGATAGGTAGGATTCAGGCGCCAGTAGCATGGGTACTCAGTACGGAAAACAAAATCGACGGAAAACAAAAATTCCCGGCAAAATCGCGAAAATAATAAATAATGTTTAAATTGACCTTAGATTTGTATGAAATTTCGCTTAATTGTTTGTTATGGGCAATGATCCACATTTTCTGCTGAAACTAAGCCATTTTGAATGTTGTGAAATTTTCAAAATGGCGTCCAGAGAATTAAAAAAAAAACAATTGTTGCACAGAAACGGCATTTCTGATCGAAATGACTTCTGAGACAATGGTGCAGGCTTTTTGTTAGTCATTTTCTGCATATATTTTTAAAAAATTTACTAGGGGTATAACGATCATGTTCTCCACTTTGGAGAACAACTCTAATAAAATAATATCATGCATCATCATTATGTAGAATATGTAGTCCCTCCTACTTGAAGAATTATGCTATGGAACGGCTTGCTATTCCCCGCCCTCATAAGCAAAAAAAAAATGAGAAATTATAATCGATGTGGGACAAAGCATAAATATTCAATAGGAAGGGACTACATATTCTACATATATTGTGCATGACATTACGAACACGCGCTGTTAAGTACATAATGATGATGCATGATATTATTTTATTGTGGTTGTTCTCCAAAGTGGAGAACATGATCGTTATATCATTTTAACGCATAATTTCAGTGTTTGGTACTGAAATCTGTAATCTGTGATAGGGAAATCACTTTTTTCCTACCACAGAAACATTCCGTTTATTTATGCAAAATTATAAGTGTTCGTTCACAAAACGCATGAAATCTTTAAAAAAAGAATATTTATTAAAAATTGTTTACTCCATCCGTAGTTCACAAATATACCGAGAGAGATATGACTGGAAAGGTTTAAAACTAAATTGTTTTGATCGTGAGGTATTCGTGATCAATTACGAAATTTTGCTTAAATAACGGGTGTCCAATAAAAATTGAAAAGCTTTTCAGTCATAGCTAGTAAATTTTTTTTTTCAACGAATTCAGTATTTTTTATTAAAAACATAATGTTTATTCTTCAAAAAAAACGTCAATTATATTTGTAGAAGGGGCCTTGGTCAGCCGTACGACGCAACTTAGTCACGATGCTCTCACTTTAATTACAGCAAAGTACAGTCATACCTCGATATAACGTAACTCGATATAACGTAACTCGATATAACGTAACTTCCACCTCGATATAACGTAACTTTTTTTTTAAGTCTAAAAATTGAAAAATATCAACTCACAATCGACTTTTAACGTTACGAATGCATTTTAAATTATTTTATACATAGTATTATTAAATTTTTCATATAACGCTGGGTTGAATAAACATTTTTTTTTTGCTTTATTATAAAGACTTTCAGCCTGTAACTGGTTCGTCTCTTTGAAGGATTGGGGCTCCTGAGAGGGCTCCGGAGAGAGGAAATAAATAAATTACATAGTGTTTGTTACAGAGCTTAAGTATTTTAGAGTTCTGTGTCGATTGTTTTAACAGTAAGGAAGGTAAACGAAGTTGTGGTTAATTTCCGAGAGAGAGAGTCAATGTCCGTAGCCTGCGGGGTTGTCATCGTTGTTCTTTCGTTTGACATGTCATTTAGAGAGCTGGTGTTTTCCAAGTGCCGTCGTTCGTCCGTTGTCGTGTTCGTTGCGGGGTTCTACGTATATTGATAATAGCCTGTGTCTTTAAGGAAGGCGAGAAGTGATCTTTCCCTGCCTGGGTCATTGGATAATGCGTCTCTGATTCTGAGACCGATACCGTATTGGTCTTGGAGGTTTTGATGTGCAGCGCAATTTATTATTAGATCACATTAGATGCTCAACTGACATTTTGGTTTAGCACCCCATACATTGTTTGTGCAATCCATCACGGGATCCGAGATCGTGTGAGAATCTAGTATAGCCATAGCGTAATCTGGACAGTACTCTCTGGTCCTTCCAGTTTTTGGTGTCGGACCAACATTTCGTATCTCCTTTTATTTTGCGTAAGAAAGGGTCTAGGGTATTAGCCCATTCCTTGTCCCATGCCGAAGCGATGATCGTTTTGATCCAGATTTTTAAATCCGCTGTAGGGACTTCCGGTTCCACTGGGGTTTTCGATGTGGAAATCGCTACCAGCTTGTCCGCAGCCTCGTTTCCACTGATATTGCAGTGTCTGGGAACCCAGGCATATACGGTGTTACTGTTCGAAGCCATTCTGATTGCTTGCACCAACGGGTGTCGGTTTTTCGGACTCTCAAGGGCCTTTAGCTTTCTGGCCGAATCGGTAATGATGGCCTTCCAGGAAAACCTGGACTACGTAACGGCTGAGAAGATGGCAGCTGCCTCAGCCGAGAAGATCGATGTAGGCTTAGGAAGGCCTATGCTGGTATCTAGGTTGGGGCCGAATACGCCATAGCCGACTTCTTGAATAAACATCATTTTTATCCTAGAGAGAGAAGCCAGCTCAATAACGGATGGTTTGTTTTCTTTGTCTTCTTTTTTTTTCTCCCCTACCCAATCGTGTTGTTGGTTTGGGAAGGCAAGCCTGGGCCCGCACGAAAAAAGTTGTTTTCAAAAGGATGATAGCCCCATTTCTAATGTTCGGCCTAGTTTGCAGTGACAGTTCATGACTGGATCTCGATGACGTTTGCATGATCGATAGCAAAGCTGTCTCCTCTCTCTCAGATTTTTACTATTTTAGGCATGGGAGGCATGTAACGAAAAGTTTATAAATGGAGAAATAAACCAATACATACTGGGAAATATTTCATTCGACGGAGAAAACATCCAGCAATTTTGACGTAGGACTACGGCTGTGATCTCTATATGGGGGTACACTTTGTGAAAACCCAAAATGGAACATGTAACAAAATTATGAAAGATTTTGAACAGTTATAACTCTGTCCATATCAGATGGATTTTAGTTCTAAACAAGCCAATCGATTGGAAAGTCGTCTACAAATCTGATAAAATGAACACTTTATCAATTGTCAATAGGTCACTATGTGCCACTGTTGCTATCATAAATTAAATTATCACCGGTTGCCTGCGAAAAGTGCTTTTCCTAACACAGATTTAAAAATTGATTTCACTCCGGTCTTGCCAAACGGTGTTTATTCAATCACTGCGTGTGGTGAGTGGTGGTATTCGGTCGTCATCAGCAGCTTTCGGCGCTTGGCGTTCTCCAGTACATAATAAAAGCCTGCCGGCATGCAGCTAGCTGCATGCTCCCGATTCAGCCTTCGATTCTACGAAGAAAGAGGACGAAGCCGTACCGCTACTGATCGGATTCAGTTGCGCGTCGTGCGCCACAGTGAGCCATCTATTCCAAGTGCATCGCCCTCGTTCCAAACAACATACAGCTCGCCAGCTTTATCTGTATTGAACACCCTAATAGTAGCTCAGCATTACTCAATTATCACGACAAAACGGTCCTTTTCTGGACGACCATAAATTTGTTAAAAATCTCCTTCTGCGACGGGAGGAGAGACTCGGGCGGCGGTTCAACACACACCGACTTGAAGATCGAGCGGTAAAAAGGTCTTTTGTTGCAGAACTTGAGACTCGAGCTGCGGACGTTCCAGAAGGTGACAGCGTAGAAGAACAATGGACGGCCATCAAGAATACCTTTATAGAAACAAGCGAGAACAACTTGGGTGAGCTGCGCACCCAGAGAATAGAGTGGATCACAGATGAAACCTGGCGGAAGATTGAGGAGCGTAGAGAAGCAAAAGCCACGATAGTGCGGGCGAGAACTAGAGGAGCCAAGAACGAAGCCCGTCAATGGTACTCGGCTCTAGAGAAGGAAGTCAAGCGCTCTTGCAGACGGGACAAGCGAGCGTGGGTGAACTCCCTGGCCGAAGAAGGGGAGAAAGCCGCAAACACTGGCGATATACGCCTCCTCTACGATATCTCACGACGCTTGAGTGGGGCAAGGATGAACCCGAGAATGCCAGTGAAGGACACTGATCAGCTGAAACGCTGGTTTGAGCACTTCGAACAACTTCTTCAATTTTCGACGGCCAACCAGCCATCAACATCTCGCCATGATCCGCCTAGGGTGCGGCGCATCACTCGCGTCAATTCCGAGGCCCCATCACTGCAGGAGATTGAAGCAGCTATCCGAAGCATGAAATCCAACAAGGCTCCAGGGTTCGATCGCATATTAGCAGAGATGCTCAAAGCTGACCCCATGCTATCCGCACAAATGTTACATCAACTATTCTGTAATATCTGGGACACCGCGACTTTTCCGGCCGACTGGATGCAGGGCATCTTAGA